AATTTCATAGTAAACATAGAAAGAGCAATAATAGTAAAACTCGAGCGTCACGACATTGAGAAGTGTCTGCTCTTGTTCCTCGTATCGTACTCACTCGAGTCAATCCGAGATGGCCCGAGTGAAGTTTCATGCAAATGTTTCGTACGGAAAAAAAAATCGCTTCCCGGAACGCCGCCCTCAGCGGCGAGTGCGAAGCACAACTCTGGCTCAAAAGTGGAACGTGAAATTTGCGTGTAGTCAGATTTGGCCTATTCGTGCAACTTAAAGCCCCATTCCCGGCAAAATTTCACTAAAAACTGACTTTTTTTTAGAAAATATGCATTTGCATTACTCTAATTATTATAAATCATGGAAAAATATTGGCATGAATTTTAGTTTTACGCAAAAGAATTAAAAAAATGAGAAATACAGACTATTTCCACTAATATTTACCATTTCTCGACGAATTCATCGTTACTAGGCAAATTCAGAGGTTGTAGATCGCATCCACTGGAATACTCTCGCTTTTATGTATACTTTATACGGTCAATAAAGTGCGCCCTCTCTGATGAGATTAATTTTTGTACTTCGCATCTCGCACAATGCGTTCGTTCGGTTATGTTGAGATATGTTTGTTTAAGTGTCAAAAACTCAGTCAGAATCAGTTTTTTAACAAATTTGAAATATTTCCTATGAAATATTATATTTCACAAGTGTCATTACTAGCAACGGAAAATATCATGTCGGCCGTTTTTATGTGTGATAACAGAACCTAAATCGAGGTAAGGCTAGGCCTAGCCTAGCAGCGTTGGATAGGCTAATGTTTTCGGCGCCTACGATATTTCTTCTCACGACCTGTCGCAAAATCAAACATGAAAATTCATCCGCATTTATTTTTTGTATGGAACACAAAAAATCAAATATCAGTCTTATTTTACATTTTTTTCATTCTTAGGAATGTCTAAATTCAGTTAAACTAGCAATTCCGTATTATATTTATAAATCTTTATAACATTATACAAAAATTAGATTTTTTTTTTTAAATTGAAATTTTGCCGGGAATGGTGCTTTAAGTATATAAAATCATCAAAATGTAATCCGAAATTTCGGATTAGTAATCCGTTATTTCGAATTAGTAACTCGTTATTTCGGATTACTAATCCGAAATTTAAAACGAATTACTGAGTGAATTTTCAAGAGCCAGTACACATGTGACAAAGATGTATCTGATATTCGTGCCACTTAAATTAAGTATATAAAATCATCAAAATGTAATCCGAAATTTCGGATTAGGCCTAGTAATCCGTTATTTCGAATTAGTAACTCATTATTTCGGATTACTAATCCGAAAATTTCGAATTAGTAATTCGTTATTTCGAATTAGTAATCCGTTATTTCGGATTACTAATCCGAAATTTCGAATTAAGTAATTCGTTATTTCGAATTAGTAATTCGTTATTTCGGATTACTAATCCGAAATTTCGAATTATTAATTAGTTATTTCGGATTACTAATCCGAAATTTCGGATTAGTAATTCGTTATTTCGAGTTAGTAATCCGAAATAACGAATTACTAATTCGAAATTTTGGATTTGTAATCCGAAATAACGAATTACTAATTTGAAATAACGAATTACTCAATTCGAAATAACGAATTACTAACTCGAAATAACGAATTAGTAATACAAAATAACGAATTACTTACTCAAAATACCGAATTACTGAGTGAATTTTCAAGAGCCAGTACACATGTGACAAAGATGTGTTTGATCTTTGTTCGATATTAATGAGAGAAAGACTGTCTCAACCAAATAATCCTGAAGAGAGTCTGTATTTGTATAATGTTTTACGAATTGCAATAACTTAATTACAGTACTTTGAGAATGAAGCTGGTTTTTTTTCTCAATAAACAGTGTGTACAGTAACAGGTACAACAAAAATTACTGCAACAAAAAAGGTTTAAGTTTATACATAAAAAAATTAAAGAAAAACATAGGCCTTTAATTATTTTCAGCTGTCTCGATTTTTAATTAAAATATTTTTTATTAATAATGCAAAAACAGACATACAGTACACTATAATTTATGATAAACTAGACTTTTTTCCAGTATAGCTCAGCAAGATATAATCACCATACTAATAGCTATTTATTGAGATCCTGTGTAAATACTGATTTTCTTTCTTTTCTCACTGTAGTAAATAATGAATAGATTATTAAGTAGGCCTACATGCCAATATTAAATGGACAATTATGTTAGTTCTTTTTATTTGTAACAACGCTATTATGACAGCATGATTCATGTGTTCCTTTCAAAATTACTGAAACCGAGTGAAACGTGTGAAAACTAGGGCAAGAGGTTACCGCGTCCCAACTCTCTCTCTCTCTAGGCCTAGGCCTATGTCCTCGCTCCTGAGTAATTCGTTATATCGAGTTTGTAATTCGTTTTTTCGGATTACTAATCCGAAATTTTGAATTAGTAATTCGTTATTTCGAGTTAGTAATTCGATAACGAATTAATAACTCAAAATAACGAATTAGTAATCCGAAATAACGAATTACTAACTCGAAATAACGAATTACTAATTCGAAATTTCGGTTTAGTAATCAGAAATAACGAATTACTAATCTGAAATTTCGAATTAGTAATTTGTTATTTCGGATTAGTAATCCGAAAAAACGAATTACTAATTCGAAATAACGAATTACGGTACTTAATTCGAAATTTCGGATTAGTAATCCGAAATAACGGATTACTAATTCGAAATAACGAATTACTAATTCGAAATAACGAATTACTAATTCGAAATTTCGGATTAGTAATCCGTTATTTCGAATTAGTAATTCGTTATTTCGGATTAGTAATCCGAAAAAAACGAATTACTAATTCGAAATAACGAATTACTTAATTCGAAATTTCGAATTAGTAATCCGAAATAACGGATTACTAATTCGAAATAACGAATTACTAATTCTAAATTTCGGATTAGTAATCCGAAATAACGAGTTACTAATTCGAAATAACGGATTACTAATCCGTTATTTCAGATTACTAATCCGAACTTTCGGATTACATTTTGATGATTTTATATACTTAAGTGGCACGAATAGGCTTTCGTACGTATGTTATCAATGGTATGTAAGATATGTTTAACTCAATTGTCTGCATTAGGGGCATCGGGTGGATAGTAAACGGCACCAATATAAAAATGGCTGCCTAGCCTGCATTTACGAGGTAGTATCACCTTTATCCATAAACATTCATGATCACATATATGGTCACTCACAGCTTCAATTACACTCTTCCATGGTCAAATGTACCAACAGTGCAAAAGTTTCCGATAGACACACCAGCAGTAAGAGTATACGTACCAGTTCAGCCTAAAATTTGTTATGTTGGCTTAACCCGACCGATCCGAAAAAAATCAGCCGACCCTAGAATTTTTTTAATTTAAATTTTACCGTACAAGTTTACGTTTGCAAAGTAGGCGTAGTCGGGCTTCACTCGAACTGTTTTAAGAGTGTTCAATAGGTGAAAAATATGACAATTAGGACCTTGAAAGGCTTATTTAATTGATTTTATAGGTTTCAAGGCCTCTGCTGAATATTGTGGCAGTAAAAAAAAATATATCTCTACCTACCTAACCTATTTTTTGGGGCCTGTGCGCAGCGATCCGTTGCCGGTGCTAGACCGTGCGATCAGCAAGTTATCCAGAGTTCACTAATGAAAGGTACCAGGAGTGAGCGTATTATACGTGTTATAAACAAATTGTAGTATTAAATAATCTGAATAAGCATTTTTTAATATTCTTTCTTTCCTTCTTTCTTTCTTTTTTTCTTTCTTTTTTTTTCTTTCCTTCTTTCTTAAATAAAATAGTTTTTTTTTTTTGTTAAATTTTGTATTGTATTGTAATTTGTTATTACTATAATATTCTATCACTAACACTTTGGTTTTCAATATTCCATTGCCTATAATGTTACATACAAAGTTTTTAAAATTCAACTTCGGGATTTAGTAAAAAAAAAATAATAAGTAAAATAGTTTTTTTTCCTTGTTGAATTTTTAAATGTATTTAAATCGAAGAATTTTCAAAATGCCTAGGGTGAAATGGACAGGAATTTCTTCGAAGATGTCACAAATTTGTCATTACTAAAATATTCTATCTCAGAGTTGTGTATCGATCCTCTTGGTATTGAAGATGGGACTATTCCCGTTGAACAACTATCCGCATCAAGTGAATATTCTTTTGTCAATGGGGCACATCGTGGACGACTGAACACTGAAGCAACTGATCATGAGGAAGGAGCATGGTCGTCAGGAACCACTGACCAAAACCAATGGATCCAAGTTGACCTCGGTAAACGGCATAAGGTACACGGAGTAATTACACAGGGCCGCAATAAACTCAATCAATGGGTGACGTCTTACGAGATTCTTTACAGTATCCATGGTAAACGTTTTCAACCAATCAGGAATCCAAACTGTAAAGTAACGGTAAATTTCCTTAGGATTTGTTTTAATGCATTTTAAACTATTTAACTTTTCATATTATTTCATTCTAATGGGTCCTAGTTCAAGTGTATAGTCGGGACCCTTGACGTATGTATTGGCCGACCAAGCTAGTGGTATGCAATAACAATGTTTTTCTTTTACGCAGAATCATAATTTTTTTTTTCTTTTTGACCTGAGGTAATGAATCGGCAGTCTTATCTAAAACCAAAAATCATTGTAGTGTTTCTTTTAGAAATATTAAGGTAATAACTATATACATTGTATTTTGCTAAATTAATCTATAGCTAAACTATCACCACCCACCGGACACTATTACGGTCTTTCTGAATCAATACTTAAATCCGGAAATTCAAAAAGAAATTTAATAAAGGCCCGGGCAATTGGCGGAGTATAAACGAATGCATGATGTGTTCAAAACACAGGTTTTCGTTGTTTGTTATTAGAAAACGATCACAGCAGGGCGATCACCTCACCATGGCTGACTTGGTCGCTGGCAGATATTTATGAGGGCCCTCTCATAATAGTTAAGCCATCCAAGAATTGTATAGTGTGCCCTCAGAAAGCAGCCAGGTTGTAAATGCTATAACTGGACACATAAGGTAGTACCAACTCAAAATATGACTCAAAAGTATTTAAAATCATTGAATAATAAAATGTTTTGTGAATATGGAAAAAAAAATTATTCAAAATATCTTATCAATGCCATTACTTGTTGATCATAATTCTTATTGCCTCATGAATAAATAATAATAATAATAATAATAATAATAATAATAATAATAATAATAGTAATAATAATAATAATAATAATAATAATGATAATAATAATCGAAATTAAACTATACGGTATTGTGAAGGTCAGATACATAATAGTTCTTTATGAGTTTTTGAATGTGTTTATGTAGCAAAGGCAAGTCACTCGTCGTAAATTGTGTTCAGAGATAATGGCCAAAACATGCTGGAATGTAAATATTTTTGAAAGCTATTTTATTGCATTTAAATAATCTTTATATGTCAATGCATCATGCTATGCTGTTATATTCATAAACTTCTATGTTAAAACAACAATTTTTATTGATTTGATGATAATCTTTGCCTGAAAAATGCCCGAAATCATAAACTGTGAAGGTTGATTTCTCTAATATTGTTCTTTAAATAACTCTATGTTTAAATGCTTGTAACTTCATAAGGAAATGTCAGATTTAAATGCTTGTTTTACAATTTTGTAGCTCTTATATTTTACCTTTTAACACTGTATTGATAACTAAAAATCGATATTTGCGACCAGTGACTGGTTTGGCTTGTCTTTGCATTCTGAACATTTATAAGGTAATTTATTCTATTCATCAATAGCGGTATCAATCAATGAGAATATACTTTGTGTACCATGATTTCAGTTTATAAATCGACATTCAAAGAGTATAAAATCTTGTATTTAAGTTATGAATTTGGTCAGTAAAATCAATAAATAGTATTTAAGTATACAATAGATATGCCATTTTTAATTTTTAAAATCTGTATACATTTACGTTTTTCAACTAAAGGTAGCCAATTCGATTTTATATATTCATTGTAACCAACATGGGTTAGTGGATTTAGTCTTAACACACATCTAATAAATTTATTTTTGGGATCTTTGGTATAAGAATATGTTTTTGAGTTTTATATTAACCGAAGAGAACCAAGAACATCACCCATAGTCACTTACAATTGGATTAGTGAGGAAGCAAGCAGTTTTAGTGATTTTTACTTTAAATATTATCTATTTCTAAAAAGAAACAAGTACATCACCCAAAGTCACTCACATTTGGATTAGTGAGGAAATCAGCAGTTTGAGTAATTCTTGCTTTAAATATTGTCTATTTCTGAAAAGAAAAAAAATAAGTCCACCATGTACCTTACCTAAAACCTTCATAGCAATGGATTTACCACAATGACTCGTTTGCACTATAAAGAACCCAGTACATCCTACGAGACGAGTAGGTGGATAACCCGGTGTACTGGAACAGGCAGCCCTTGTGGTGGACAACGAGAGTTGCTGGTAACGAGTTTAAAGGTAGCACAGACACGAAGGGACCCTTAAGGGCATATAAAGTCATTGATCGAGTTCCTAGTCCACATATCAAGCGCCCGGAGCATCTTACATTTGATGGATATGTGCGCAATATAAAACTACATTATTATTATTATTATTATTATTATTATTATTATTATTATTATTATTATTATTATTATTATTATTATTATTATTATTATTATTATTATTATTATTTCACCGTGCCCAGTATTTGGAAAACCTCAGTTATTACTCCTCTAAATAAAGTATCTAAACCGAGTATATCAAACGATTACAGGCCTGTGGCCCTGACTCAGATTGTAGTAAAATGCTTTGAGAAAATAATTAAAGGTACTTTAGTAAATGAAGCTCAAATGTTCTCGGATCCGCATCAGTTCGCATATAGTGCTAAGAGAGGAGTTAGTGATGCTGTAGCGACCCTGCTACATCCTGTATTTGTAACACTTGACAAGGCAAACTCTAATGCTAGAACCCTTTTCATTGACTTTTCGTCTGCGTTCAATAAAATACAGACTCATTTATTATGCAGAAATTAATTACTATGAAGGTTAATCCTTACGTAGCTTTAAGGATTTTGTGATTCCCTTTGCAACAGGAAACAAAGAGTTAAGATAGGTAACTTGCATTCAGACTGGGTTATTTCTAATACAGGAGCACCTCATGGAGGTGTGCTATCTCCTTTGCTTTTTACTATATATACTTTTGATCTCGGATGTAATGCTGATTCATGTCATATAATCAAATTTACCGATGACACATGCATTACAGGTTTAATTTCAAATGGCGATGAAAATGTATATAGGAGTGAGGTAAAACGCCTTGGTGTGATGAAAATTACCTATGCCTTAATGTCAAGAAAACGAAAGAAATGATATTTGATTTTCGAAAGAAGAACACTGCCAAAGATCCGTTATTGTTAAAAGACAAAGTAGTAGATAAGACTAGTGATTATAAGTTGGAGATTGGCTTAATGATAACTTAAAAGGGAACACTAACACACTTAAACTTAGAACTAAAGTAAACCAAAGATTATATTACTTACGCAAACTGATACTCTTTTACTTTTCTACCATAGCATGATACAATCAGTTTTTAGTTTCTGTAGTATCATCTGGTTCATAGGACTGACCAAAAAAGACTGAGTAGGCTAACACGGTCAACAAGTAAAATAATAGGTACGGAGGTCAATGATTTAAGTTGTTTATGTGAAGGTGCCTCACTTAATAAAATTAAGGACATAGCGGATGACCAAACTCACCCACTTAATAAGTTCATAACAATTAGTAAATCTGGCAGAATAATTCCAACTTTAAAACGTACCAACCGTCATAAATACTCATTTTTACCATGTGCAATAAGAGTCTTTAACGAACACTTCAGTAGATAATCTCATGATCAAGACTATTTACTGCATTACATTCCATGCCATATTCCTCTCCTGACCTCACAATATAGTTCAACCTTGTTAATTCCGTGTGTAATATATTTTTATATTCATATTTAATATTACATCTGTTAATTGTTGTCTTGTATTTTATAGTATTCGATTTCCATTGTTTGTTATCAACTCAAAGAAACAAATCTCGTATATATGTACTATGTATGACGAAAATAAATCTTATTATTATTATTATTATTATTATTATTATTATTATTATTATTATTATTATTACTAATAAATTGCTAATTGACACAAAAACTGACATAGGCCCACATATTGCAATTATTATTAGGGTAATAACCAGTTTTGATTGTCCCCTACATATATTTCGTGTTCCATGTAATATAGATTTAGTTTTGCCTAAATATAACGTTAGTCTAGTTCTAATACGTAAATTAATAATGAATGTAAGTTGTAACGTACTGTGTTTCTAATTTTTGTTTTATTTAAAAAAAATTTAGATAAGCATTTATCTCTCTGAATTATAAGATCCCTAATTTCTGTAGTAAACTATATCTCAGATCGTTGCTTAGTCCTCACATTTTCAGACGAGCAACCTCATCAATTACTGCCAAATGTTTCATCTTAAATTTACACCAGGCAATATTAACATCGTATTGTTTGAAGGTTTGCATGGCGAAGTAATAACGTATATGTTGAAGCTTGCGGTACACCACGTAGCTAGTTCTGAAAGGAATTGTTGTAGTTGAGAAAGTCTTGACGTTTCGATTGAGTTGCTTCAATCGTCTTCAGGAGAATAATATCTGCAGAAACTTCAAACAGAGAAATACTATGTTTGGGTAGAGAGATGGATGGATGGCAATGAGAAGACTGCTAGTGAAAATGAGAAGACTGCTGGTGAAAGGCTAAAACAAAGGCCATTGTTCAAAGGGGTGGAAACGCCCTAATAAAGGCATGATTCCAGGGCGGAAAAGGGGTGGGAACGACCAAAACAAAAGCATAGTTCCAGAGTGACGGGAAAGCGGGTGGGGATGAGAACGACAATGAAAAAAAGGTATAGTTCCAAAAGGGCGGGAAGGGGTATAGGAACGACCATAAACCAAATTCATAGTTCCAGAAGGCTGGAAATGATGGGGCCGCTAAGTATACCAGTTATATACGATCTATTATATTATTATATTATCTATTATCAAATGAGATTTTATATGCGTCTACTTTTGATCTAGTACTATGCATTGTGTTATTTGTGAAGCGCCTCAAGGTTGGTCCAACGGGAGGCGCTATACAAATCGCAAATTATTATTATTATTATTATTATTATTATTATTATTATTATTATTATTATTATTATTATTATTTTTTATTTTTTTTATTTTTTTTATTTTTTTA